GGCATGTGTGTCATGTCTAGCCTGAGTGCATGGCTGTTACATAAGCTTGTTTTGCCAATTTATCCTCTCTTGCTTTACCTCCTCACAATTACATATATTCATTTTCTACACCATTTTAAGCAACAATGCCACAGCATGCATATTGTTGTGAATAGTTTACCCAAAAATGTAGATGAGTGTGTTTCTTCATCAAAACAGATTTAGAGAAATTTAGCAGCATTACTTTGCATACTCACCAATGAATCCTCTGCAGTGAATGGGTGCCGTCGGAAGGAGCTAATAAACATTCAAACAGCTAATAAAAACATTACAATAAACCTCAAGTAATCCACATGACTCCAATACATTATTTAATGTTTTGCAAAGTGAAAAGCTGCACATTTGTAAGAAACAAATCCATCATTACGGATGGAAGTGGAAAAGTGGAAACCACCAGTGGAAAAGTCCATTCCCTTTTCTCTCACAGTAAAATCCACTGGCATATTTATGTAGAACTGTTTTTGCTTGTAAACAGTGCTTGTTCTGTGCATATTTCTCTCCTGATTCAGACAAGATGGCTTTTTCACTGGAGAAAGCAATATTAGGAATAGAGGTCATTAACTGATGGACAGATGGTCTTGTGGCTTATTGTGATGTTTTTATCAACTGTTTTGACTCTTATTCTGACGGCACCCATTCACTGCAGAGGATCCTTTGGTGAGCAAATGATGTAATGCTACATTTTTCCAGATCTGTTCCGATGAAGAAACAAACTCATCTACATCTTGGATGACCTGATGGTAAAATGTAATTTACGTTGACTAAAATGTCATCTACTATTCTTTGAAGTGCCTGGCCAAATGTGCTAATATTGTGGTAACTGCATGTTTTACAGCTTGATATTGTTTGCCCGGAGTATGTTTGAGTTTTGTGTTTACCCTGGTGTTAACATTAGTGGTATTTTATTTAATTTTAGCCATCAAGCTGACCGAGATGATTCATGTATGTATATCCCTTTACAGGTCATACCAAGGTTGGTTACTCTCTGTACTTCTACACATACAGTTCATGGAAAGGTCGGGCGGTGTACATGGAGGATCTGTATGTGATGCCAGAGTTCAGAGGTAAGGAAACCCCACTGTGTGCTTTTGTTTTTTTGAATTGAAAATAAAATGTAAGTCCTTTGACTGATTAATGGTTTTCTGTGAGTATTTCCAGGGAAATGCATTGGCAAGGCTCTGATGTCTAAAGTTTCCCAGGTGAGGGGTATTTATTTATACTAGCTAATGGCAGCATATGGCACACAATCATAATACATTAGCAAGGAATCTGTTGTTAACAAATTGTGATTTAGATTATTGTTGATCGTGTACAATTTTACATGTTTTTGTGATTACGATCACCCACAGCTTGGTCTGGCTGCTGGTTGCACCCAGCTGAATTTCACTGTGCTGGACTGGAACAAATCATCTCTTGACTTCTACCTAAAGCAGGGCTGCTGGGATGTGACCTCCGACCTCGGCTATCACTGCATGCGCTGTGAGGGCGATGCCCTTGAACACTTGGCCCAGGGGGACCTTTAAATTTTGAAGCACATAGATTCCACTGTCAACCCCTGACCAGAGCCACAAGTAACAAGTTTGATAAGCACAGGAAGACAGTAAACTGACAGTTAAATGGGAAAACTGGAATAAGTAACCATGCTCATATCCTATAGACATTTTCTGAAAGAAACGCAACTTTATGAGGCCATATAGACAAGCCATATTGCCGAGAACAATAGACAGAAGATGCTTCTTATTTATGTTGCCTCAAAAAGTGCATTTGATTCTTTCTACATAATTAAATTGTGAAGTCTGACCTAACCAAAGATTCAGAAGTGCACTGTTGTGTCATTGTGAATCGCATATATAGTGGCCATATTATGACATAATCATTTTTCTACTAGTGGAAAGAGTGGAAGTGAAATTGTTACAGTTGGTGCTGATACCATCATTCGTATCTAGAATTTAGAGCTGTTATTCTTAGATGTTTTATTTAAATAGCCATATTATTTGTTATATTACGTGTCATTTTATTTTTACATTTGAATATCTTTTTGAACATCTAGTCGGTCTCGCTCACAAATCCACTTTATCTGAAATTATGCACAAGTAATGTTCTTAAACTATGTTGTAATATATAAAGAACCGATTGGTACACAAGAGTCACAACCACCTAGATTCTAGAAGATGAAGATGTGTCTGTTTACGCTGTACATGCACAGACATAAGCCACATACTTTTCTCGACTAACTTTTGGTAAATTACCAGTCATAAGAGAGAATAAGCTCACTAAAAGTAGAAAAATGCACTACAAATGTAAATAAGTTAAATCTTACTGCTATTGGTTAGTGATACCATGATTGGATTTTGCTTTTCTAAATTGTTTACTTGGCCTTGTAGATAATTTTTTTTTGTGCATTTTGCATTGTGTATTATTTGTGTGTAATTTTTTGGCAACCAGATATTTTGTTTATTGCCAAAAGGTCTTTGGCAAGAAAATCTTGTGCTGTTACTAAATACATTATAAAAATGAACAACTTACAAGCCATAATACCTCAGTCTCTAAATGTAGTTATTTAGTAAGTAGTTGGTAAGATTTAATGACCTGTTAGGATGGAACTGTTATTTTGTAGCACTTCAGAGAAGCTCAGTGTAGCCCCATTGTGAAGATGATGGCAAAAAGTTACATTGTTACAAGCTGCTGTATCCAGTGTACTGTGCAGTCTGTTCTATTGGCCATTGATTAAAGTACATTTGTCCATGGTTTTGCTACATGTGTTTTTACTTGACAAGAAGCTTTTAAAGCAGTGTAATCTAGATTAGTGTTGAACAAAACTATGCACAAGTAATCATAAAATAAACATAGTAAATGCCACTTCTGAATCAATGACCATAAGATAAATCGTAGCTGGAAGCAGGATTCACATTTGGCCTGCAGATCATTGCATTACTAAGCTGCTGAAACGCCAACATGTTGCAGTAGTTAGCACACCTTAGTCAACAGCGACATCAGGTGGTCACCCGGAGAAGCGATTAACGATAAACCACATTTAGGACTTTTTCCAGCGCACTTCACTGAGGAATTCAAGTAAGGCTTCCGAGACAACAATTGTGCCGTGCATATGTTGTGCATATTTAAACCTTTAAAGGCCCAACCGATTGACAGGCCAACGTTTCGTAGCTAATTAACTAAGTAAAAACACTGTGAATCAGACCCAGGCTCATTTTCTGACTCATAATAATCGAACTCTGCCAAGAAACCATCCCGTTGTTTGGGACTTTTGGAAGGGAAAAAGAAGAGCAGAACTAGACACATCTTCACAATATTGGCATTTATGTTAGAAAACGATTAAGCAATGATTAGACTGCGCATGTTTGTCATTTTAGGTATCATAGAAGAGACAAAAAAAAATGATAAAATACTTTTTTTTTTATGTCTACAAAATATTACATTTAATTATAAAACAAAAGCAAACAATTTATATGTCATTTGAAGAAAATACAGGTACATATTTTAATAATCCCTGCTAGAGAAATAACACACGCATAAAGTTTATTTATACACTCTAAAAAATGCTGGGTTGTTTCAACCCAATGTTGGGTCAAATATGGACTAACCCAACTGTTGGGTTACATTTTGGTTACATTTTTAAATGAGGTTTTTAACCCAACAGTTGGGTTAGTCCATATTTGACCCAACATTTTAGAGTGTAGGCCTAGGCCTACTAAATAAAATACTCACATGGTTTTAGTAGCTGATTCAGGTTAAAGAAACTAAATGTGTGTCGCTGGAGTTTTTTCTTATGAAATGTGACCCTGGACCACAAACCCAGTCTTAAGTCGCTTGGGTATATTTGTAGCAATAGCCAAAAAAACATTGTATGGCCAAA